GTCAGCCTCAGGTTGCTGGAGTTCGAACCTCACACCTCTCCCGCTGGCCAAAAGTGCCCTGAAGGCATTCGAGCAACAACAACAACAAAAAAAAGTACTGGGAGTCAGGGAGATGGCTCAGTGGCATAAAAGCCTGCCTGGCAAGCGCAAGGCCAAAAGTTCGATCCCCAGTACAATTAAAAAAAAGTGCTGGGAGTACAGGTGTGTGCCATCATTCCTTGCTTCTTCACGTTCTCGGCCCACCTCTGTGGGTTCTTCACTTGTGCATGTATAATTTAATATTCAGCCAGATCTACTTAGATATTTACAGTCTTTGAGTAGTTCTTTTCTTACCAAACAAATTCTTGCCCTTTTTTCCTGAGACTGGGTCTATCTAGCTCAAGCTGGCATGGACCCCCTATGGAGCCCAGGCTGGCTTCCAACTCCAGGCAATCCTCCTGCCTTAACCTCCTGAGTGCTGGGATTACAAGTATGCACCACCATGCCCAACCTACTCTGGCTTTCATCATCCCTATTACATATACATTGACTATGATTTTATAGTTTCACTTTAAATAAAGACGACAGGATTTCATATTTTTATTCCATTTCCATTTTCATGTTGCTTTTCCTAAAATATCTTTCCTGAGCCAGTTGTGGTGGTGCAAGCTTGTAATCCCACTAGTCCCAGCACCCAGGAGGCTAAAGCAGGAGGATTACTGCAAGTTTGAGGGCAATCTGGGCTATGTGGTGAGTTCAAGGCCTATCTGAAATACACAGTGAGAACTTATCTCAAAAAATCAAAACTAAAATGAAGCCAAATGAAAGCAAATCTTTCCTCTATAAAGCCAAGATAAAAGCAGCTCGGTGTATTAACCTCCATTTAAAGCATCTGTAGGGGGGGCCTGGCCCTAGTTCAGGCCTTTAAGTGGCTGCTTCCACAAAGCTGTCAGCCTCAGGTTGCTGGAGTTCGAACCTCACAACTCGCCCACTGGCCAAAACTGCCCTGAAGGCGTTCGAGGAATAAAGCACCTGTAGGTCACACAGAAGGGCCATGCATAAGTTACCCTTCTAAAATATGCAGTACTTACGCATCTGTAGTCTTTGTACATCCATTTAGGTTCAGTACTTCTATATTCCTACAGTTTTGTGCAAAGGTCCTACATGGGATAGAAAAAAGTAAATGGTTAAATGAAATGGGCAAAACTCCAAGCATAAAAAGTTAAAAAGATATTATGCCTCATAAAGACAACTGATTGCTGATACCTGTGATGCTGTGATAGGAGATATTCCATTTCTAGTTCTCTGAATAGAGTTTTTAACATCCCTATAATTGGGGCCCGTGAGATAGCTCAGACTAAGCTCCTGCTTCGACAAGCATAGGGACTGGTGGCGCTGAGCCAGTCACTGAAACTGGGCATGGTGGCACATGCCTGGAATACCAGCACTGGGTAGGCTGAAAACAGGAGGATCACTATGAGTCCAAGCTGTGTAGTGAGACCCTGTACCAATATACAAAAAATGAAATAAAATCCCTGTAATTACTATGTGACAGGTGGACAGGAGCATCTTTTGTGACAATACTTGTTCAACTATGCCTAGGTAACACAGCCATTGTAAAAATCCCAAGTGACATGAACGGGGCAGCTTCCAGCCTGGTGAGCAGAGTCACATGCAGGATGTGGAATGACCTCACTCCTCATGGATGGAAGGTCTGGCACTTGGGACCCTCATCCTCCTGAACTGTGTACTTCATCTGCACCTTTCACAGTAACTGGTAAGGTAACTGAAGTATTTTCCTGAGTTCTGTGGACCACTGCAGCAAATCCTCAAGCTGCAGAAGGGAATGAGAGGAACCCTTGATTTCTATTCCACTCATCAGAAGCACACAGCAGCACGGTGTGGGGATGCATGTCTGTAATTCCAGTGCTCTTTAGGGGAGGCTGAGGCTGGAGTAACACAAGTTCAAGCACAGCCTGGGTAGTTTTGTAGGACTGTGTCTCAAAATAACAATGGCATGGGATAAAGCTCCGCGCAAAGACCCTCTATTCACTTCTCAGTAATTCCCCCTCAGCCCCTCCCCGAAAGTACATACCAATCTGGGACTTGCAGCTGGCATCTCAATGGAGGCTATCATTTAAAGTAACCTTTTTTTTTTTTTGTATTTCAGTACAGGGTCTGCAGGGTCTCACTATGGAGATCAGACTCCCAGTGATTCTTTTGTGTTCTGCCTCCTAAGAGCTGGGATTACAGGTGTGTGCCACCACTCCCAATCTCAATTGCTATCTCAGCCCTCCGGGCGTGGGGATGGGATGACCTGGCAGGCCCAGGGATTAAACTTCGGCTGCTGTGCTCTGCCTAAGCAGGCACTTTAATCTGCTGAGCTATTTGGTGAAGTAACTTTTAGAGTGTTTATTATTATTATTTTTTGGCCAGTGGGATTTGAGGTACACTGTGTGCTTACTGTCAATATTGAATTGCAGGACATCAAAGAACCGGTCATTGGTAAAAGAAAACAAAAATTCAAAGAACAAAGTTACTTAGGCTCCAAAAGAACCATTTATGATGAGGAATCTGGCCCTTCTGGGGTAAGAATCAACTTTGTTTGTTTTATTCACTCACTCACTCACTCACTCACTCACTCACTCACTCACTCATTAATTCAGTACCAGAATTGAACTCAGGACCTTGGGCTTGCCAGGCAGATGCTGTGCTGCTGAGCCCTGATTAATCACTTTGTATGAAATAAAGAACAGCACTGGCTGAAGAGATAGCTCAGTGGCAAGTACCTGCCTGGCAAGTACAAGGTCCTGAGTTCAACCCCAGGTACCATATGTAATGCCAGCACTAGAACCTCAGGCATACTGTGCTGGGCACGGAAAACAGGCATGGTGGCATACACCTTTAATCCCAGTGCTAGGAATGCTGAGACAGGAGTATCACTATGAGTCTGAACTGCATAGCAAGGCCCTGTATCAAAAAAAAGAAAAGCAAAAAACCCCAGCATCATTAGAAAATGTTTTAAGTAGTTTAAAAAATTACTAAGCAGTTAAAATTTAAATCCATATACACTATTTATAGCACAAAAATATCTGGTAATAGAAAGAATTGTTTTAAGAAAAAAAAAAAGTACGAGAGGCTGAAAGAGTAAATAAGATCCAAAATGTGCAACAGATACTATAAAATGAGAAGAAACTGTATTTAAAAAGAAAGAGAAATTGGGATGGGGGATTCTAATTTGTCTTAGTTCATTAAAAAGAAAGGTTTGTGCTAATACTGTTTGGACAATTAAATGCATACATCTAATACTTTGAGTAACTAATTTAAAGATAACCATACACAATATATAAACCATTATTACTATTTCTTATTTTGAAATTTTTACTTTTTTTTTTTTTTTAAAGTAAAATTAAAGAGCTAGGGATATAGCTCAGTGGCACAGCACCTGCCTGGCAAATTCAAGGTCCTGAGTTCAATTTTTGGTACAGGAAAAAGTTATTAGTCAAGTCAGGTTGGTGGCCCATGCCTGTAATTCCACCATTATGGGAAAACGAAGCAGAAGCATGGTAAATACCAGTCTAGCCTTAGCAATTTAGTGAGACACTGTCTCAAAATAAAAAGAGCTGGAAACCTAGGCATGGAGTCACATGCCTGTAACTTCGGCACTCAGAAGGTTGAGGCCGATCGATCACTCTGGGTTAGAGGACAGCCTGGACTCCTTAGTGAGATCCTAAAAAAAGAGCTTGGGGAGTACAGAGCTGCAGGCCCATGGTGTGCCTGCTGTTGTGCGGCTGCCACCAAGGTGCTGTCTTAGCTGGGAGCGGACCCCCACAGCCAAGTAGCCTCTGGTACCATGTGGCAGAGCCGGGTCCCTGGATTGCAGGAGGAGAAGCTATAGGGCTCCTGGGTAGAACTGTAGGTCAGCAGTAATTGGAAGAGGAGCCGAGTTCCAGCCTCAGTTTCTTTTTATAATAGTGACATGGAAAAAATACTGCTAATGCCCAGCATGAATGTGGACAGAGCAGCTCCGAGAACTGTGACAGTTCCCTCCCTCACAGGTGCCACTGGACACTGGGGAGCTTCTGCAACACACACGGAGCCCTGGAGAAAGAGCCGCTCTCAGTCCAGGGAGGATTACCCTGAGAGAAGGAACGAAGTTGAAAATACCCTGGAGAAAAACCTCACACTGGATATGGGATTGGTCAAGTTGGCTAGAAAATACACCACTGAGGAGCTCCTCTTTAAACACCCAAAGCACACAGCTACTCTGAGAAACAAGAGTGTTGTGAAGGAATGGGGCGTTTTCTATGCAGAATCTGTGAAGGTTTTCTTCCGTCTCCACGCTGCTGCACCTATCCACTGGACTGGGGACCTACGCTGGAAAGCATCTGACAACCTCCCTAGTCCTTTTTTTTTTTGCGGAACTGGGGATTGACCTCAGGCCCTTGTGCTTGCCAGGGAAGCACTTATTCCATGAGCCACCTCCCCGGCCCCAGTGGTCAGTTTTCTGACGTAGGCACCTGCTGCGTGAGGGCCTTTCAGCCCTCTTTATCTTATTGGGACGCTCTAAAAGTCGCCAAATTAAAATAAAGGGTGGCGGGCTTGGGATGCTGCTTCATGTGAAAGTCCTGAGTTTAATCCTCAGTGAAAGGAAAACACAGATTAATCAGTAGTTACCATTGCTATTTTTACCTTAATGCATTGTCTCCTACTCCAAGACACCCACGAAGACTTAACTTTCGTAAAAACCCTCCACATCGTTTTGAAATATTCTCCACTACCCGGCCCTGTAACAAGAAATAGGTAAACAGATGAACTGCCTCACTGCTTTCCAGAATAATATATCCAACTTTGTAATAATCTATAAATAGAAAAAAATGGCTTGAATTTGTTTCAAAGACCTAATTAAACAGGAAAATATTGTGTTCAATTTGTAAGATACTCTATTTGAGCATTAGGTTCGGTCTCCTATGGCAGGCACTATATGAACATGTACTGCTCAGTGCGGTCCAATTACAGTTACTGAGCCGGACACAGTGCCTCAGCCTGTGACTCCAGCCCTTAGGAGGCTGAAGCAGGAGGGCTTTTCAGAGTTTGAGGCCAGCCTAAACTGCACAGCGAGACCCTGTCTAAAAGAAAAAAAAAAAAAAATTCAAGCAGGTGCTCAGATAGGTGCCTATCAACAGATGAATGCAATGTGGCTTCTGTACGCAGCGGAATCCTGTTCTGTCATAAAGAAGGACAAACTTAAAAGAGACTTTTAGGTAAATAGATGCACCTTGAGAACATACTTTTAAAGTGAAATAAGCTGGACACACATGTTTAAACATATCACACTGACAGATATTAGAAGTACAAAATGTTCAAATGGGAAGGGGAGCAAGCAGGAAGGGGGGACAGAAACAAAGCTTTTATAAATAAGATAATAAAGGAGGACTGAGAGTGGAATGGGGAAAAAATCAAGATATTGTATGTACAGGTACAAATTTCCTATGATAAATGTGAACACTATTCATATCAAACGAGTACTGATAAAATTAAAAACAAAAACAAAAAATAAAGCAAAAGCCAGCTACTGAAAGACAACAAGCGTCTCCATCTGCTCTCTGTTCCCAAGGATCTGTAGCACTCTGCACAGAGCAGCGGCTCACTGAATGCTGCACTCACTGAATGACTCTGCGGGTCCTGCACAGAGATTGTTTTTTTGGTACCAGGGATCGAACTACTCTGGACCTTGGCTTGCCAGGCCAGTGCTCAGGCCACTGAACCACTCCCCCAAGCCCTGTGTAAGATTTAAACCATGAAGAAAAGAGAACTGGGAAAATTAAATCCCATAAAATGCCTGCATGTATTACTTTAGAAGCACGTTCAAAGATAACGGAAGAAAAAACAAACAAACAAACAAAAACACAAAGATAACGAAAGATTTATGATAGGTTTTTAAATTTCTTACATGGACCCTCAAAAAAATTTATTTCTTAGGGGCTGGGGAGATGGCTCAGTAGAAAAAGTGCTTCCCTGGCAAGCACAAGGGTCTGAGTTCAATTCCCAGTTCCACCAAAAAGCAAATAAAAAATAAAAATGAGCAAAAATTTT